TGGAATTACTGGAAATGACCAACCTGTTTCTTTCATTTTTCTTCTGTTCTCTACATCACTCCTTAGTTGAGATCTGGTTTTCTTTCTCTGGTTTAGTTTTTCACATTTAAGAAAAAATAGTACTGGAATAGTCCTAAAATGATGACTCTATATTCTTTCACTTCACTTCTGTTTCTCTACTATTCTTCTCCACAAAGTCTATATGTCCTCTCTCTTATTCTGGACCATGCATCATCCTGGCTCCAAGTGAAGCATTTCACTTCTAACTGTCAATCAAAAGTTCTGTACCAATGGCACTTTTCACTGGATTAAAAGAAGGATGCATTGACAAAGAACCTATCGGCTTCTGGATCAACAATGTCGCTTGCAACTTCATAGGACAACAGCTAACTAAAACAGCTAGACTAACACCATGTTCAAGGAGTTACCATGCTAAGAGACATCATCAGCATCATCATCATCATCATTGGCAAACAACCCACACAAACCCACAAAAACAAAAATACTAAGAATCAGTCCAATGTTCCTATTGCAGCTTATTAAGTCTGCCGCAGTTAAACATCCTCAGTGCTGGATCATTAAAAGCACTCAGGGCAGCAAGAGTTTTGCGACCACTCAAGCTTGTTTCTGGCATTCCAAGTGAGTAAACAATTTTGTGTTGTTCCTGGATATTTTGCAGTCTTTTAAGCTTACCACAGCTCAACGTGGGAATAGATGCAGGCAGTCTAAAAGCTTTGAGGGCTGCGAGGGTCTTAAGACCTTTAAAACTAGTATCGGGCATACCAAGTAAGTAAATTATTACAAATATCAAGGACCAGGGAGAAGGAGGGACTATTACACTAAATTGTCTCCAGCACAACCACTTTCACTTTGGTACTAGTCTACTGTATTTTTGACTCCGGGGGGGGGGGGGRGRTCCRGGAATCAAAGAAAGGGTGGGCCGGAAAACTTTGTCCTGACAGAAAACCCTATTGCCCTATTTCACTATGACGTCACATCAAAACAATCTATTGTTTAAACGCAAAGGAACATGGTCGTCGGAAGGGGTCAAATTCAGTGAAAATTGTTCTAAAACCTGTATCAATCCACAAAGAGAAGTCGAATAGCCAGCAAATGCTCAAAATATTTTTTAGTACATATTAACACATGTTATATCTGAAAACCAGGCCATTTTAGATTAAACTGTTTCGCTAGGAGCAAATTTTGTTGAATTTTCTATTGGGTTTGGCGATTCTATCCCCCACATTAACAAGCAGTGACGTCATAGTGAAATAGGGCAATTACATTTAAAGAAGATACATGGACCCACCCCTTAATTTGTCACTGATCCATGCCTCCTGCCCCCCCTCCCCCCATCCACTTCGAGAGTACTCCATGGTCCTTGAATAATGGATAAATCAACTGTAAATAATAAATCTAAAATAATACCACGAATAAAGGTTACTGAACGTGTAAGTATTAAAGACGTGTTCACAAACAAATCAACACTATGTATGTATTCAACTATATATATACCACAGTTTGCACATCTCCCATGGCACATTTCTTACAAAACAATATTCTTAAAATAATTTTTAGAATCAGTACCTCAAAAGTATTGTAACTGATAAATAAGTCTGAGTCCTTTATTAAACGATTAAGCAATGCAAAAATAACATGACTCACGTGCAGTCTGTGAGCTTATTTTTCTAACCACAGATATATTCCATTTATAAATTCACTTAAAATTAATACAGCCATTTGACGATCAAAATATTAGCAAGGATGATTAAGAATATCGTTTTTTTCTATTTTTAGGTATTTTTCAATCAACGCGAAGCTAAAATATCGAGATTAGTTCGCTTTTACAAGTCGGCTGACGCGCGCATATGCGTTTCAGCGATCTTCTTCTTCTTCCAAAAACAAACGGAAATTTTAGCTCAAATTATTTCTTTAAGGTCGATATTGAAGATTAAGATTTACTTTACCTTGTAAGATGGCATTTAACCGATTCCTTGAGGGAAAGTTTGTGGCTTTGAGGTGGATAATCTAAGTCCTTATCTTGAACTTCTGTCATGAAGGCCACCATCTTGAATACGAGCCTGTCGTACTTTAGTCAGCAGTGATTCCCGCCAAAAACGCAGGAAGCCCGCCAACATGTTTTCATTTCAGCCCGGGCACTTCAGACCATGTGTCATACATTTTCCTGAGTATTATTTCTTTGTTTATCAAGAAAAATCGATATACATGTAATTGTGAACTAAATCACGAAATATTCCTGTTTTAAAGGGCATGACACATGGTCTGAAATGAGTTATATCCAAGTGCAGGCAGTAGTGTGATAAATATCATATATGTATTATTATTACTATTATTATTATTATTATTATTATTATTGTTATTATTTGTATTTGGTCACATGGATTACTTTCAATCATATGTGTAAATCTACCTCAATATCTTATATCTTACAACGTTAAACTCAGTTTTTTCTTTCAACAGGTCTTCAAGTGGTCATGAAGTCTATAATGTGTGCCATGTTGCCGTTGTTGCAGATTTGTTTACTTGTAGGATTTGTTATCATAATCTATGCGATAATAGGTTTAGAATTTCTATGTGGGAAGTTTCACTATGCTTGCCATTTGAATGACACAACAACAGGTATTACTATTTGAAGTAATTAATCCATATATAATATAATAATATATGATGACTGCCACCTGGTTAGCTGCGAGTAGTTGGTAAAAGCATCGGTTTGTTGTTGGGGAGGTATGGGTTCAAGCCTCAGTCAGACCAAATTCTCAGGCAGGGTCTTAAAATAACTGAGAAGGTGCTTCCCTCGTATTTTAATATCAGCAAATGGTGGGTCATCATGTGGCTCAGATGCCCATGTTAATGACTGCGTTGCAAGTTGCTTTGTGTCACCAGCCAATCTATCTCTGGTTGTCTTTTGATAATGTTGCTTGTGTTTTATAGGCCAGCTCACACTTCCAGGTGAACCAGAGATATGTGATTTTGAGAAAAAAGGTGGCAAGAGCTGCGAAGATGGTTATGTTTGTACGAGGTTCTTTCAAGGTCCAAATGATGGTATAACAAGTTTTGACAACATATTTGCTGGCTGTTTAACTGTATTCCAAGTAATAACTAACGAAGGATGGACAGATATCATGTATTGGGTAAGAAACTTAATTGACCAGCTGGTTACGGCACCTAATTTACATCACCCATAGTACATTTTGGGCTTGGTATGCTTTATATCTCACCAGACTAGAAAACAGACCTCAGATCTCTGCCATACATGATTGTCACCCAACCCACTAATGATTACCTACATAATATCAGTAGTACGGGGCAGTAACACCAGTTTTGTTCCTGTTTTATCTAGGCCACTTTTTTTTACCATCAGAACCAATTTTCCCCCTTGTAAGAAAATATTTATTACACAAGTAAATAAAATACTGGACCCCTTCTTTTAAGACCAGATATTTCACTGGTGGTATCAGCTCTGGAGTAAATAATATTTTGTACTTTTTATTTCAGACTTTCAGTGCATATGACCAGCATGGCTACTACTTCTGGTTATATTACTATTCCCTGGTTATTATAGGATCGTTCTTTATGCTTAACTTAGTTCTTGGTGTCCTTAGTGGGTGAGTACCTATATTTTATTCATAACAAAGAAGTTATTGGAGTTACTTTCTTTGCAGGGATACTGATAATTGAATGCATTTTTCAGAGAATTTGCTAAAGAAAGAGAAAGAGTAGAAAACAGAAGAGCATTCCTTAAAGTTAGAAGAACAAAACAGATGGAGAGGATGCTTCATGGCTACCTCGACTGGATAAGCAAAGCTGGTAAGAAAAACAAATGAATGGGATAGGATGGGCTAGATAAATGGGATGGGAGGGAGAGAGGAAAGGAGAAATTAGAGATAAGGAGCGAGGAATGAGAATTTAAAGAATTAATTTTTCTATTTAAATTATTTTACAGAGGACTTAATGTTAGAAGAGGACGACGAAGGAGAACGAAATGTCGATGTATTACGAAGACGGAACTTAGATCGAGTTGAGGATGGCGACGTAGCTATGACGTCACAGGTGCTGACAGGAAATGGAGGAAAACGACACAGACTCAACACCGGACAAAAGTATGGCTGAATAGATAGAGAGGGAAAGAGGAAAAGAATTTGTAATAATTGGAAAAATTTGTGATTAAGAACCGTTTTTCTCTAGAACGCTGACTTTTTTGTTTTCCGCTTTCTACAGAAGGACGTTTTGGCAAAGATTTATTAGGAAAAACAAACGATGGAGGATCCGTGTTCGTCAAATAGTCAAACATCAATCTTTCTACTGGGCAGTCATCATCTGCGTCTTTCTTAACACGGTCACTGCAGCCTGCACACATTACCAGCAACCAGATTGGCTCACATCCTTTCAAGGTACGAGGCAAAAAAATCGGATGCGAGACGTAGTTAATCAAAGTACCTTGGGGTATTGAAGTATATACGCGTATAAGTCATGCATTATTGGAGTATAGACACAAGATGACGTCACAGGGAGCACCCTAACAAGAATGGGGGGGGGGGATTTATGAGAAAAAGTGGGGGCTTTGAGATTCAGGGTTCGTGCTACTCCTTAAACTCCTTGAAAACTCCTTTAATCTAATTCACGTTTTCAAGGGCACTTGAAAAGCTCTTGAATTTTACGATTTTAACGAAACTCCTTGAACTTTTGCTTTGATCATTACTTGCATGGTTCTGAAATAGATCTAGTCAGAAAGATCGAAAAATCTGAAAGTCGGCCATGTGCGACCACCGTGTAAAACCTTGGCATAGTTAGCTGAACATACTCCTTGCAAAATTTATTTTTGTGTCCTTGTATACTTCTTGAATAGTCCTTGAATTTTAAGTGGTTACCTCGGCACGAACCCTGAAGATTGGAAAATATAAGAGACTAGTATGGGAAAAGGCACAAAGTAGGGGAGCTGTAGGCCCCCTGCCCCACCCCCTCCGTGGCCCCTGCCTTATGGATGCACTGACACTAATCTGTTTCTCTGTTTATCACCAGACAAAGCAGAGGTTATATTTATTTCATTCTTCTTCATGGAGATGGTTCTAAAATTGTATGGTCTTGGTCCTCAACTCTATTTTAAATCCCAGTTCAATACGTTTGACTGTGTGGTACGTATAACTTGTTATTTGTCAAAGTATGCAGTTGCGCTGCTCAAGTACTGAGTCGAACTGAAAGCACTGAGAAGGCGCCTTCGGCATCTGCCATACAGTCCATGTATGACCCCGGAGCACAGCTCTAACCAGTTTGAATTAGTTAGGGTTGGTTTGAGAGGAGGGAGGAAACACCGGAGAGCGAGAAAAACTCTCAGAGTCAGAAAAAGGATAGAAAAGAAGTGTTTAATTTGATTTCCTACTGGTGGCGCGTTAGAAGCTACATATCATAAAATAGAGGGTTTTAATTTTCAATGTAGGGGAGTTGAATGGTAGAAGCTTTATTTTTTGCGCGACAAGAAATTAGTTTCCGAAGAAGAAATGTCTGCTGCAAAACCCTTGCATATTAATGTACCTCAAAGAATACTCCTAGTGAAGAAAGAAACGATACTCAAGGAAATAAACCTGGTCTTGTTTTGTAGGTCGTCTGTTGTGGTATAATGGAACTTATTATCAAAGCAGTCGAAGGAATCGAGTTGGGTATTTCAGTCCTTCGAGCTCTAAGACTCCTAAGATTGTTTAAATTTACAAGGTAACTTAATATTTTAATTAAGTCTTTACATCCTGAACCCCCCGGGTGGGGGGGGCACTGCCCTACGTTTTCCCCACCCCTCCCCTGTTATACTCTGCATTGTTCTACTATTAGTAAACCAAAAGATAAAATCAGCTACAGTCACCTGACCAGGGGTTGCTAAACATCACTAACATCATCCGTTGCTATAGATACTGGTCGTCTTTGAGAAACTTGGTCACATCGTTGTTAAGCAGTGTTCGCTCAATCCTCAGTCTGTTGTTCCTTTTGTTCCTCTTCATCGTCATCTTCGCGCTTCTGGGAATGCAAATCTTTGGAGCAAAGTAAGTACTTTATTGACATTTGCTTTTTTATTTCTTATTAATTTGTATTTTTTATGTTGTCCCTTGGGAGAGAACGAGGGCTGAGCAGGGAAGGACAAGTACTGCCATCGAGATAGTGGGGGAGGGAGCGTTGCGTGACGGCACTAAGAACGGCTGCGGGGTAGACTATCTCCGAGATTACAAAATGCAGAGTCAGAGAACCACACTGTAGATCATATCTTACGTCACTTGTCTTCGCAGGGGGCACGCATGCGTAGAGAATACCCATGCAGAATCGTAAAATGCTCCATCTATTCTCATATTCTCATATTACAACAATTCAATAAAAATAAGTTAATGAATTAGCTTTACTAATGATAATTTGACTTGTCTTTATCAGTTTTCGCAACCTGCCTGGCAGATCTGGAAATCCACGTACAAACTTTGATGATTTCTGGAACGCCTTTCTTGCTGTTTTCCAGGTATAAAATTGAAATTAAAAACTTTGTTTATGAGACATTTATCTTAAGGTATTTGCAGCAGTGCGCGAGGACGTACTGCTTATTGTATGTTCGAACCCCACGCGGTCACCACACGAAGCGGATCACTTGCGTACGACATTTGCCCTCTCATACTTTGGACAGAAAAGGAGTGACGAGCAAGAAAGAGCAACTTCAGATGTCTGTCGTTTTTGCTTTTATCAAATCAGCTACTTACTAAGCGCAGCAATACTCCAGTTTCGAGTTCTCTGTTGCTCAGGGTTAGCCTTGAATTTTCGCAGAATATTCCTGTGTTCCAGTGAAGTGGACTAATAATTTGATGCGTATTTTTATCAACAGATCCTAACAGGTGAGGACTGGAATGCCGTGATGTACGATGGTGTATTATCCCAGGGATGGCTGGATAACAACGCAGCCACTGCACTTGCATGGTCTTTATACTTCGTCTTGCTTGTGGTGCTTGGAAATTGTATCCTTGCAAAATGAGTAGTCTTAATGTTTATAAAAACCCTTGGAGCTTTGGCGTAATGTTTTCCCATTTCAGACCACGTGTCAGACCCTTGAATATCATTTCTTTTTTTAACGGTTGCGATTGAGAACACAGATATAATTCAAGAGAAGGACTGAAATGGGAAAACATTACGCCAAAGCTAAAAAGGTTGGTTCTTTTCAACAACAAAAATAGCTGTCGGTTTTCAAAGGTTTCTTCCCTTGACAAATCAAAGATGTTCTTCTCAACGTTTTCTTGGCTATCGCCGTCGATAACTTGGCAAACGCTCAGCAGTTGAACGCAGATGAAGCCGAAGAAGAAGAAGCTCGAGAAGAACGAAAAAGAGTCATCATGGAACAGTTTCAGGACTCTAGATTTTCTCCAGGAGAAGCCGGGTAAGCTTTTCAATCTTAAAAAACCTTCAATTTTTACCGATACCGACCTGTCGGGCGCACAGATCAACACTTCATTCCAACCCCAACTTTCACCAGACCGTATTAATTTTTTTCTAATAATGATAATCGTTTCAGGCGCAATGGAAACGCAAAAAGGGTGAGTTAATGAACTTTTTGATATTAATTGAGCTTGACACTGAAACGCGAATAGAAAACGCAGGGATTTAGATAGAGAAGAATCGGAAGTAAAGTCGGGCATCAAAGTTCGATATCTATTTCATTATTTTCAAATTAAAATAGTTGAAAAGAAAAAAGAAAAAAGAAAAAAGAAAAAGAAAAGAAACAAAAGCTTGAGTAGGTACTACTTTTAGGTCACCCATCCAATTACTAACCTTCCTCAACCGGGCTTGACTCAGTACATATGAATGCCCAAGTTTTTTCCACTGGGCCACGGTTTCATGAAATTTGCACAACAATAGCCGTGAAAACAATGCACCGGATAGACTAGACTTTTTAACATTA